TGTCACCCCTTCCCCTCCCACTCTCACAATTTTTCCCTCCCATCTCCACCCACAATTTTTCAACATCATGTATAGTGAGTATCATTGCTGCATTTGTTCTCCCTTTGTCCCTCCATTTCTGTGCCCCTCTTATCTTCCCAAAGATAGATAAATGAACCAGACAAAAGGAAAAGTAAACAAAAACAGCAAGCAAGAAAAAAAAACAACTCCTAGTCAACCAATGTTTGTTGAATGGGCAAACTTATGCAAGAGTAGGACTTCTGTTTCCATTTAGCTCAAGTAGTTTACAACATGAACATGTCTTACTAATCTTGCACATTATCCATGTTCCATGAAGTGAAAGTGAAATCTAAAATGAGAAACATCAACATTTAAATTAAAAGAATTTTTAATTACTTAATTTACTATCTTGATTCTAATCAACTCAGAAGTTGATCTGATGGAAATGGGTGGGAATCATGGCAGGAATTAGGCTGGAACTTGATAGTTATATGCTAGGCCCCCTCTTAAGCACAACTCACAGGAGCAAGAAATGTGGACTTTGATATTTTGCTAGTGAAGTGGTATAACCTTGATGTTATTTCATAATTTATTTCCACTTCATGCCATATGGTTGTGACTCACTAGTAAAAATACGGAATTGATTTTCCAATTATACTTACCTAAAAATTCAGGCTCTGGTGGGAGTCATAGTTAATGTGGCACAAAGTAGGAATCAATTATGTAGCATTTTTCATTAGGTTCATTCATTTATTCTGTGAATTATGAGTACTAATTTCATTAGTAAATTAGACATACTCCTTGGGTTTTATAAAACAAATTTTTTGACTAGGAAACAGCATAAAAATGTTTTAAGTGTAAATTGTGATATATGGTAACAATAAAAATTGTGATGAAAGTGAATAGAATACGTTTAAGTTGTGAGGTAATCCCTAGGAGGAAGTATACATGCATAATCATTCAGATGCAAAAAAAATGCCCAAATCTTGAAATCTTCCTGAAAATACATTTGAATACAAATAAAAAAAATGCCCAGTGCAAGTCTATGTGATTGAAATATGGTCAAAAGAAAGAGCTGGCATCAAATGTAATGAGAAAGAGTGGCAGAGGTCGTGCCGTTGTAGGCTTTGTGGGAGGTAGATTGATTTGGATTTTGAGTAACTGCGAAAAGAAAATGATCAATACTTTAACATTTGACTAATACAATTTTTGATCTGAGGGTATGTAGTAGATAAATAGAGACTGTGCATTTGCTATATGAGTCTTAAATCTTAAATCTTCAGTCAGATTTTCAGACATCTTTTTACCCATAGGAATGCAGCTCTACATGGTTATATATGTGATTACAGGTATATATATACATATACATATATGTATATATATGATTGTATATGATTATAGAAAGATAGATTTTTATATTCAATATTTCAAGTAACATTGATTTAGAAATACATTGCAAACCAGAAAATAAAGAAGCTGATTGGAGTTCTTTTTAGTTGAGAAGAAGGCTGCATAGATATACAGCTTCCTGTTTTCAAATTGTTGAAGGAAAAATTTGCATGTGCCTCTACGTTTTCTGTATATGTTATGAGTGAGGCACTCATCTTTCTTCTGTATTTTGCCCCTCTTTCACAGTGAATAGCCTTGAAAAATAGAAATAGTTCTCGTTCTGTAGCAAGTGGCAGATTTGTTTATAGCCTTGGAAGATAGAAGTTGAATTTCCCTACAGAGCAAAGGTCAGGTGGCCTCACTAAACTTTACAATACAGTGGGACTCTTCAAGTGTGTTAGATTTTCATCATCATGACAAAATACTTGAGAACAACTTAAGAGAGAGGATGTTCATTTTGGCAGAACATCACCATGGAAGAAGCATGTAGCAGAGGAGGCTTCTCACCTCTTGGCAGCCAGGAGCAAAGAAAGCCCAAAGGGGTGAAGACTAAGAAACACTCTTCAAGGGCACACCTCCAGGAACCTACTTCCTCCAGCCAGGCCCCACATTCTAAGAGCCTATTAATCTATGAAGTCATCAGTGGGTTATCCACAGATGAAGTTAACACTTTCAAGAACCAATCACCTCTTGGTAGTGCTAACAGATAGAGACCACACCTTCAACACATAGGAACACTACATAGCCAATCGATAGCATCAAGCTCAGGGGTTTTCTCTTGAAATGAAGCACAGTATGGATACTATCAGGGCCTATGCATTGCTCCATAGGCATGAGACACAGACATGGATGTAATGATAATCATGTGGTTTACTGTGTGGTAACAAAATCCTTTGTTTCTAATTCAGGAGTCTTTTATCTTCTGCCAGCATGTATACAACTGGCAGCCCAACTTATTATCTTCTAAGTGGCCAGCTTCTAAGTGGGTAAAATGTCAGCCTTCTCACAGTTCTTGAAAGAGACTCTGGAGCAATCTGAACAGGCAGGTACAACAGGAGGCAAGTAAGATTTGAGTGCTTTACACCCTGCAGCTATACAATTAGCATTTTTTGCTGCTGCTTTTCTCCTTCAAAGTCACAAGATGAGCTATTCTCATACAATCACATCTTAAGTGTGAATCCTATTCTGAAACCCGTGTGAAATTTAACTAGCTATTAATTATTCTGCCTTGAATATTCTTAGCAAAGTGGTAGAGTCTTTCAACAACAGGAAGAATGCTATAATAAATTTTAGGCATATCTGGACATACAATTGATTTAAAATTTTATTTGTTGGTATTTGAAACCATCATCTGAGAATATTTCTATGAAAGAGGCTTATACAAATACTCAGGGGTGGGGCTGGGAAGGTGGCTCAGTGGTAAAGCGTTTGCCTTGCATGCTTCAGGCCATGGGTTCGATTCTTCAGCACCCATAAGCAAAAAAAAAAAAAAAAAGCTGGAAGTGGCGCTGTGGCTCAAGTGCTAGAGCGCTAGCCTTGAGCTGAAGAGCTGAGGGACAGCGCCCAGGCTCAGAGTTCAGGCCCACGACCGGACCCAAAATAAAACAAATACTCAGGGGCTAACATTATGGCTTTTCAATCTCAGTGCAATGCAAACCGGTCTTGAGCTCTCACCTCCTCACTGGGATTTGAGGAGCAAGCACTGCCACTGCCACCATGAGAGACTGGGAACTTCTGCTTTGCCAACTGCAGAGATATTTTGTATCTGCATGGTTTAGTCAGTGGCTGTGAGTTTGGTGTGTTTATATAGCATCTGAAATTTAGCTGGTCTGTATTGTGAATTGTAAGTGTATTGATTTCAGGCTTGGAGAAAAAAATCTTATTAAGGATTCTTTAAAAATAATGTTTGACACTACTGTTTCAGATGAGTTAAATAAATATATTATTAAAATTAAGTTCATGTATTCATATATATATATATATTTCTGTTGAACAATATTGTTCTTGATTCTTGTTATTCAAGGAGGCCTTGGTTTAGGCTCACTGGAGCAAAAACATGAGATTCCATCTCAAAAATATCTAAACCACAAAGGATTAGGGGTGTGGCTCAAGGACCGGGCATATGACTCAAGTGTATAGGGCCTGAAAATCAACCATCTAGCCCGGGATTTAAACCCCGGGATTTAAACCAGTACCAAGAGGAAACTAAAAGTCAAGCTCCCTAGGGGTTCAAAAGGCTGATGCTTTATTTTAGAAGAGAATTTCTTTACTGTGGCATTTAAATTGTATTCTTAAAAATGTCAAACAACTTTTAGGGATATTGTTGTTTGTTCCATCATACTGTATTTTGTTTTGCAGGTCTTTGGAGAGAAGAGTGGGAGTAGAGACAAGCAAAGAAGGAATAAAAATAGATACTCTGCTTGGCTGAGCACTGAAGTAAGAAGAGACTTTCATCTGCCATCTCAATCGTTACAATAACTTGTTTTTCAGTGGTACTGGTGTTTGAACCTAGGACCTGTCCTTGACAGGCAGGTGTTCTACTACTTTGAGACCTGCTCCTAACTCTATGTACTTCTAGAATTTAAACTCAGAACCTTTTTATGTGATCAGCTGGTACTCTACTGCTTGAGCCATGCTTACAGTTTGGCTTTTTGTTGATTCTTTTGGAGATAGATTGTCATAGATTTTTCTCTGTCTGGCCTGGCCTCACTTCCAACTGTGTTTCTAGCACCTTCAACCTCCTGATTAGCTATTATTACAGGCACGAACCACTGCCTCCAGCCACAAAAATTCTTTGTGTGTGTACTGTGGTATGTGCTTAAACTCAAGGTCTGCATGATTCTCTGAGCTTTTTTTTCCTGCTGTACTACTTGATCCACAGCTCTACTTCTGGCTTTTTGTCAGCTAATTGGAGATATGAATCTCACAGCTGTTCGGGCTGGCTTTGAACTATGATCCTTAGATCTCAGCTTCCTGAGTAGCTAGGATTACTGGTGTGAGCCACCGGTTGTCCCCATGTTACAGAGGAGGAAATGAGGTATAGGAAGGAAAACAACTTGCTTAGTGTGAGTCTGATGCACTAAGTGCTTGACTCCAAAGCCTGTGCTCTTTCTTCAAGATCACCTTCATTGTCTCTCAGCAGTCATGAATTTAATGGAAAACTATGAAATAGGATATAGATCCACATTTATTTATGTTCCAGATATTTTTTAACCAACTCATTCACCTGGAAAATGCATGTAAAATATATGTACTTCATAGACATTAGAGAGGATCTAGTAACTTCTTGAAAACTAGGATGAGAACCCTATTAAGAGTTACATGATAGTAACAAAACAATTGTTTTGTTACCATGGCAAATGTATTGTCTCTGAAAACCTGCTCCCTAGTAATTTTTCAGTTAGGTAAATAACAACAAATATAAATATTAGTTTCACTTTATAGTCTAAATGAAGCATGATCAAGTCCCTCCCTTCCTCTTCCCCACATAATACATTCGGAGAGAGCTGTCCTTTCATTGGTTGATGCTTTCAGTCACACAGCATGTACTGCTTCTGCTCTGCATTATGAATTAACAGATGTGCTTGGTTTGAAGAAACATTCATTTCTTAATGGGAAGAAAAATCTTATTTGGCTTTGCACTTCTTTTTTTATGTATGGGATTTTCACTAACTTTGGAACAGATATTTTCCAGGAAGAATGTAAGGTGAGTAACCACAGTTCTTTTAATGCCACACATTTGTGAACTTCAGTGCAAGTATGAAATTGGGTGGTTCTGTAATTTCATTATGGCTTGTCTACATTTGTTTGTGTTTATAGTTCAAAATGGATAAGCCAGCTTAGATCATATGATTAGTTACTAAGGTTACCAGAATAATAATTAAGAGATTGCAATATGAACATTATTAGGAGAGTCAAGGGTAATTTGCTTAAGATATTAAATAAATAGTGCATTTTGTACCAGAGTATATGAATCTTCAAATCACTGTTCAGCATTCTTCATACTTACAAGTAAATGTTAATTTCCTAAAATTTCCAGCAAGTATAATGTGAGAACAGTGTTAAGAAAGTAAAAGCCTCAGAAAGATATAACCTGTTCCTCAAAGAAAAGGTATTAAAATAATTTTAACTAGTGGAAGGTAATTGTGTGTGATATATAGTATTTACTGTTAACACAAGCACTATTTTTATTTCGAGTATTCTTTTGGTTTCTTTCCCTGCCATACAAGGTAGCATATAGATATTTCTCTATAAAAGCATATTCCACAGTTCATTTGTGTTATTCATGATGTACGGTACCATCTCAACAAATGCATCAGGGAATGTAGTGTGAACACAAAGCATAGCAACAAGCAGGATGATCTGACAAAACCTAAAGTATTCTTTTCAGAAGCTGCAAAAGCTGTAAGTACAGGAGTTTGATTTTTTTCTCTTTCTTCCAAGTCAATTGGTACTTTCCTTCAGGTTTAATTTTGAATCATAAACTATAAATATTCCATAAGTGTTAAAGCTTAGTTATCTCTCCCTACCATTTACAGAAATGACTGATTTGGGTATTATACTAGTACCATGTACACCAAGACTTATAAAAACCTCAATTCTATTTTTAAGACAAGGGTAATGAGTTTAGAAATCCATAGATCTTAGAAATCAGATAAATCAATTCCAGCCGAGTAGTGCAGCATATACAAAGATTGCTATTTTGTGGATGGTCTTCCACATCATGGATCCAAAATTAAAAATATGTTTCGATTGTATTGAAAGTTGCATTTTTTTTTTTTTTACAAAGCTTAGGTGGGGTGGAGGACCATTCTTTTTTTACATTCACTCCTCAGGTTGGATCTAGTTTTGGAGCTAAGGGAAATCCTGTGTGCGTTTCCACTTTCCACTTTATTTTTATTTATCTATTTATTTATTTTTTGGGACTGGTTGTGGGGCCTGAACTCTGGGCCTGGGCGCTGTCCCTCAGCATTTCAGCTCAAGGCTAGCGCTCTACCACTTGAGCCACAGCGCCACTTCCGGCTTTTTTCTTTTTTGCTTATATGGTGCTGAGGAAACGAACCCAAGGCCTCATGCATGCAAGGCAAGTGCTCTACCACTGAGCCACCTTCCCAGCCCCACTTTCCACTTTAATATGAGAATTTATTCATTTGTTCCTACAAGCAACAAAATTTTCAGACTTTTTTTTTTTTTTTTTTAGTAGCTAGACACTCTGTCAAGCACTGGGTCTTGCAGTGATAAACAAAATAGGCTTCATCTTTGCTCTTATACACCAAGTCCAGTGTTGAGGTGCTCACTAACCCCGTAATAGAATATGAACTATGATGTGAATGAAAAATATGGGACACAATAAGCACATAAGCTGGTATCTTAACTTTCTTTCTTTCTTTCTTTCTTTCTTTCTTTCTTTCTTTCTTTCTTTCTTTCTTTCTTTCTTTCTTTCTTTCTTTCTTTCTTTCTCTTCC